CCAGCATCCGTTCACTGGGGCCAACAGCGGTGTGTGCTGACAGCTAAGCCCGTCCGCATGGGCAGCCTGGGGCTGAGAGGACACAGGTTTTGCAGCCAAGGTGGGATGTATGGCCTTGTGTGAGGCAGGGCCCCTCACCTGGGCCTTGGCACCCTCTCCAGGAACACTAGCATCTTCCCAGGCAGGGCCGTGAGGAAGATCTAACATCAAGAATACAAGTACCTAACATAGTGGCTGTATATATCAGCCGAATGGTTTTTATTTAAAGTTGACTTAAGCCCAAGCATTTTCTCGTTTAATAAGAAGACTCTGGTTTAATGAAGCATTGAATGGCACAAACCAGACTTAACCAGTTACTGCTTGCAGGGACTTCTTTTTAAGTGGAGAGAGCATCAACATTTATGAACAAAATCAGGTAATACAAAGTATTTGAGGCAAGAGAAGTGGCCTAATGCTTTTCTTCTTTCCAGTTACAACTCTGTATTTGTTGTCACCCTTTGGGGAGGGGGGTTACACAGCACACTAGTGTTTGGTCTGTGAGGAAAACAACTGAATAAATATTCTGAAACAAAGCCCCCATAAAGACCTAAAGAGGCTGTTTTGCTTCATGACAAACACCCCTCCTGCTGTGACCTTCCCGAGCGCCCCCCCCCCCCCGTATACTTGTAGAGGGAGGGTGAGAAGTCATTGCTGACTAGCAGTTTCCCCGGATTCAATGAAGCCAGAAGGCTAGCTCCTGAATTGCTTAAAACCACCTGGGCCCCAAGACTAAAGCGGGACAGGTTAGAAGCTGAAAGAGAGCAGGAGATCTTGTTCTATACATGTAGGGATTGCGAAGAATCATACATTACTTTAGATGGAACAACAAACCAAGCTCATGTCCTGCAAAAGCACATTGTCTTTTTTTTTTTTTAAGATTTTATTTATCTGACACAGAGAGACACAGCGAGAGAGGGAACACAAGCAGGGGGAGTGGGAGAGGGAGAAGCAGACTCCCCACTGAGCAGGGAGCCTGATGCGGGGCTCGATCCCAGGACCCTGGGACCATGACCTGAGCCGAAGGCAGATGCTTAACGACTGAGACACCCAGGCGCCCAGCACATTATGTCCTTAAATGTGCCTGCACAAAAAGTTAGTAACTCTTCCTCATGGAAAGGCTTAATATCTGGATACATTTTACCTGGAACACTGTATGAACATGATACAGAAGGACATTTCAAGTACATAACTGTCTTTTTTTTTTTAAGATTTTATTTGAGAGAGAGAGAATGAGAGAGAGATAGTACGAGAGGGAAGAGGGTCAGAGGGAGAAGCAGACTCCCCGCTGAGCAAAGAGCCCGATGCGGGACTCGATCCCGGGACTCCAGGATCATGACCCGAGCCGAAGGCAGTCGCTTAACCAACTGAGCCACCCAGGCGCCCCATATCTGTCCTTTCTAAAATAAGTAGGTAGCGGTACCATGGCTTTTATATTGGCGAGCACTTCCTGACTTCAGCACTTGCCCCCTGTGATAGTCTTGGGTACCAAGAGGACAACTGCAGCGTCCGAGTCATTGGAAGGCACGTCTGCGGGACTGGCCGGTGGGTCCTGCCACTGGGGGGGGGGGTTCCTTCTCGGGATGGGGGAACAGCCCCTTCTGCCCCAGGAACGCCATGCCAGGGCTTCGCAATGCACACTAGTTAACCGAAGGAGCCATGTTTCCTGGGCCAGGTTAAAATTCATTCCCACAGGAACACTTGAGACTTTCTCTGAACTGTAATAACTCGGTGGGTAAGTGCAAACAGCCGACGGTTGCCAGAGCAGGGATTGGGATTGGGCGAAACGGGCGAGGGGGTCAAGATACAAACCTCCCGCTGACTTTACAGCGTGGGGAGGTGACCTGCCGCAGGGTGACTCCATCTGGCAGACTGGAAAGCTGCTAGGAGAGTAAATCTTACAAGTCCTTGTCACAAGACAAAAAGTTTTTGTAACTATGGTGACAGATGTTAACTAGACTTTCTGTGAGCACTTCACAATACGCACAAATACCCAGTCATTATGTTGTACATCTGAAACTAAAACGTTCTATGTCAATTATACCTCAATTAAAAAATTCTTTTATAAACAAATAAGTAGAAGCAGCGGTTCTGTAAGAGCTAGCCTGGCGGTGTCTATTTCCAGACTCCAGCCCCCTCGCGCTGCTTCCCAGGGCCACCTGCCATCTTCCTACTGCTGTATCTCATCATGATCTAAAGCCTAAATCTTGACGTTCCAAGTACTCACGTGTGATTTTACCCTTCACTGGAAATAATAAAAGTGATTTAAGACCGCCAAATCTAACAAAATCTGCCCTATGATGTTCCATGTGTTTAGAAGAAAGAATGCCTAGCCATCTGTCCCTATTGGAAACTTCATCAAACGTGGAGGAAAATAACCAGCATTTGATTAACTGCATGCCAGGCTCCTATTCACTTAACCTGATTTATTTCTTGGAAGCACCCTTTATAAAACAGATTATTTTAAAAGTAAACCATGGATTAATTGTTAAGCTATTTATTCAAGATCAAGATCATCCCCCCTAAGGGACAAAGATGGGTTCAAACCCAGCAAAGATTAGCCTCTGTGCCTGCCTCTCTACTACAGCCATTGATAAAACTGTCAAATATGAAGAAATCCAGTATTAGCGACTATGTTCTAGTCAATTTTCACTCCCATAATGTAATTTTCATTATTAGCTCCAATTAAAATAGAAACTAGCAAGTGGAATTTCATATAAGCAAAGATTCTTTTAAACCACTTTTATTGCACTGGACTGTCATCAAGTATTTTAGTACCTTATTTTCATAGAAGAAACCTTTTATTATTTGTCTAGGTAAATCTTAAATTTTAACATTCAAGAAGATTCTGAGGGCGCCTGGGTGGCTCAGTTGGTTAAGCGACTGCCTTCGGCTCAGGTCATAATCCTGGAGTCCCGGGATCGAGTCCCACATCGGGCTCCCTGCTCAGCAGGGGGTCTGCTTCTCCCTCTGACCTTCCTCTCTCTCATGCTCTCTACCATTCTCTCTCTCTCTCAATAAATAAATAAAATCTTTAAAAAAAAAAAAAGATTCTGAAATGTTTTTGAAGTTTTGCTGGAAAGTAAATGCCTACTCATAGGTATTGATATGCAAAAAGTTCACATTTTAATGTATAATCAACTACAATTTGCATTTCTCTACCAAATAGTCTCTATAATGGAAATTCACTGTAAAACACTGAGGGATTTCTGTCTGGCACAAATAAAGTTCTCAATGTTTGTCAAATGAAGTAAACAATCATCAAACAACGTAGTGTTTTATGGAAATCAAGCCACATAGAGCTTTAGAAGCTACAACAATCCCAGTTCTTCCTTGTGGCCGCTTCACGAGAGACGGGAGGAAACAAACTCTCTCCACCAAGTTTTGCTTTGAAATGGGAACCAGATTATTGCTTAGAAATGAAGTTAGTCTAAACCAGAGGTCAGCAAACCTCTTGTGCACAGGGCCAGAAAATAAGCGATCCCAGCTTTGGGGGTCATTTGATGCCTGATGCAAACAACTCTGCTGTCGTACAAAGGAGCCCCGGACGATGCTTCAGTGAATGGGCGTGGATGGCTGCGTGCCAGTGACACATTATTTATGGACATGAAAATTTGAATTTTATTACAACGTTCATGTGTTATTTAACAGGATTCTTTTCTCGAATTTTTTTTTTTTTTAAAGCATTTAACAGGGGGACCTGGGTGGTTCAGTTGGTTGAGCATCCAACTCTTGATTTAGGCTCAGGTCATGATCTCAGGGTTGTGAGATCCAGCCCCATGAGGGGCTCCACGATGGGCGTGACGTCTGCTTAAGAGTCTCTCTCCCCCTCTCCCTCCGCCCCTTCCCGGCTCGCACTCTCTCTCTTTCAAAAAACAAACAAAAAGAAAAAAAAAACACTTAACAATGTAAAGCTCATTCTTGGCTCACAGGCCCTACAAAAACAGGCAGTGGGCTGGATTTGGCTTGTGGACAATTAATTTCCTAACCCCTGGTCTAAATATATACTCTGTTTTGACATTTATTTGCTGGCAATTAAGTACTTCTACTTCATTATTAAGCACAATTTTAAAAATGTGCTTTAAGGCTTTGCCTAAACTGCTGGTATACAGATTTTTAAAACAATTTAAAAATTACTTATACCCAAATTAAAATATACTGCAAGAGGAGCAAACCGGTCAAATTTCACTTATTTCTGGACCTCATATCTGTAAGCTCTCACGCACACAGCAGCAGGAAACACACCTCGGGTCTACAAAGGCTTCCAATTACAAAGCAGCAAGTGCAAGTTCACTTGAAATGTACGTTTATACGCCTCGTATGAATGAAACATGGAGCCACACTGAGATGTGTGATAGCAAAAAAGTGTGATCTGAAGTTCCACGACTAGACCATTTCCATGTGGTTTAATAAAAACCGTGCCCAGTCATTTAAAAAAGGCCACTTGGAGGGGCGCCTGGGTGGCTCAGTCGTTAAGCATCTGCCTTTGGCTCAGGTCATGATCCCAGGGTTCTGGGATCGAGCCCCGCATCGGGCTCCCTGCTCAGTAGGAAGGGCTGCTTCTCCCTTTCCCACTCCCCCTGCTTGTGTTCCTGCTCTCGCTCTCTGTCAAATAAATAAATAAAATCTTAAAAAAAAAAAAAAAAGGCCACTCGGGGAACAGGCCAGTAATAGAAAAATGTCATGTAAAACTTAACCATTTACCTGTCTAAAAAATAACCTTCAAACTTTAAATCTTTACGTTGGATTGTTATATGGATATATGTTATCATAGCAAGAAACAAATTTGCTATGGGCTATAAGTTTGGCAATCTGGCTAATGTTTAAAAACGTGCTCATGAAGTGATAACATTATTTTTATTAAAATAATGCTAATGATGCCGAATGAAATCTCTTTCCACATGAAACATGATAGGTTGCTTCCAAGTCACCCCCACCCCAGCAGAACAAAAACAAAACAAATCAGTCTGAGACTCACTTGAGTGTTTAATTCAAACCTCTATTTGTCGTTTCTAAAATGCTGATCCACAGACCACTTTCTTGTTACACGTGTGTACCAACGAAAACAAAAGCAGAGGATCACTGCCGTCCCTGCAAAAGGAACGGCTCCTTTTCTAACATTCCTTAAAAATATACAATGTACGGTCCTTGCGCCCCAGCACAGGCAGTGACTGACGTAATGAAGACACCGGCCCGCCCGCCCTCCTCCCCGCCGAGCGAGCCCCGCCAACTACCTGTTGTAAGCCCGCTCCTTTTTGGATTTTTCCAGGGCCTTGTCCATGGTCTTCTCGTTCTCCCCTCGGCATTTGGGACAGTACCACTTGCCCTTTGGTTTGTGATTCAGTCCCACGCAGGAGAAATGGAACCACTCGATGGGGCACTCGTCATTGTCACAGCCGATCATTTCTCCATAGGAGACCTGATTGCACAGACAGTAGGTTGGCTCGTTCGGGTCGATGGGAAGGTCTGCGGGGGACGCTTCCCGCTCAGCTTTGGCCTTGGAGCGTTTCTTCTTCTTGGAGGCTTTTGCTTTCTTCTCCTTAGGCGTTCCTGAGGTGATGTCATCATGGTCATGATTATTGGCAGCGTTCTCTCGGTTCTCGTTGTTGCGCTGTCGCCGGGACCTCTTGTTATTGGTCTTCTCCGCCTGAGTGATTGTCTCGCTCTTGGACTTATCCTGGCCGGCTTTGCCGCTGTGGCCAGTGGTGTCATTGACCTCCTGATGGGCCTCAAAGAGCTCCACGTGACTGTCCACCTGCCTGGTCCGGTTCTCCACCAGCTCCACCATCTGACTCACGATCTGGATCTTCTCGTCGCCCAGCTCCTGGCTCCGAATCAGGGCTCTCTGAATGCAGTGCAACACCCTCCTCTTCTGGACGCCGTCTGTCTCGCGTTTCAATTTCTCATAATACTCATCCAGTTCCTTCAGGATTTCTGCAAAGGAAAAATAAGCATTATGTCCATTCTATAAACACAACTGAGCCCTTTATTTAAATTCTCTGGTCTATAAAAAAGTAATTGCAAAGGACAGACATAATCAATGCAAGATTTCCTGTATGAAAATCCTATACCCTACAGGCATTTTGAGCAGACCTTTTTTTTCCCCTATTGAAAAAAATCCCTGGAACTAAATACAAATGCAACACAATTCCCATTTAGCTAAGTGCCACTCAAAGCTCCCCGAGGGACTCTGCATTCCGAAGCATGGGTAACATTACTCTTGGGATCGGCAACTTAAGGGGAATAGTTTAAATTTAGGTGAAGTGCTGGTGCCCAAACTTTTACTTTCTATAAAATTAATTGATTTATGTCCTATACTTCCAGTTTTTACTCAAATATTCTTCTAACTTAAATGCCTTTATTCCCTTTATTTTAATGCATCAATGTCTAGAATACCCTATTAAATCAGAGAATGTATAAAAACACTACCTAGTGACCCAGGGCCTCAGTTTATCAGTCACGTCACCATCATCCAACCTTGCTATTCCTCTGTATTACTAAAAACAAGACTGGTTTGTCACAATAAGTCAGACAACCTAGCTTTGCCTTAAAACAAAGGGGTCAGATTTTGCTTTTGCATTTACTGCTTAAGACAATACACGTTCACATCTATAAGAATCAACAGATTTTAAAACATTACCAAAACTAAAAAACCCTCAGTACTAAATTTAAACTTTGTACAGGGGGCACCTGGCTGGCTCAGTCGGTAGAGCATGTGACTCTTGATCTTGGGGTTCGGAGTTCAAGCCCCACACCGGGTGTAGAGATTACTTAAAAAGGTGTATATGATTTTAAGATGTAATTTAGAAAGTGTAATTAGGCAATTTCTCAAGATATAAAAGTTGTTAAGTAATCTTGACTGAAATAAGGAAAATAAATGTTCTTGCCAAAAACCTATTTAAGGGTCCTGGGAAGGAGCCTCCGCATCAGGCTCCCTGCTCAGTGGGAAGCCTGCTTCTCCCTCTCCCACTCCCTCTGCTTGTGTTCCCTCTCTCGCTTTCTCTCTGTCAAATAAATAAATAAATAAAAATCTTAAAAAAACCCCAACTATTTAAATACAAACAGAAATTCCCAGAGTTATTTTTCCCAAAGAGTAACAAATCTAAATAGTATCAGGGGGCGCTGCCTGGCTTAGTCAGAAAAGCATGCAACTCTTGATCTCGGGGGTGTGAGTTTCAGCCCCACATTTGGTGTAGAGACTACTAAAAAATGAATAAACAGTATCAGATTTTTCTCCTGAAACCCTTTGCAGTCTCTTAAAATAAGGCAATTTTACTCTCCAGCTAGCAAGTGTGGGAGGCAGGATATATAAAATGTAACCCCTCATCCCTTCCAGATCTTATCTTTGAATAGTTATAAGGTATAAGCCTAACACTGAAATAAATACATGAATTCAAACCAACACTGAAGCTTACCTAAATATAAATATTATTTTCCAGGCTATATTTTTAAACTAAAGACGGCTCTGAAGATACTTCCTAGAAAAACAATGTAGACTATCTGCCCCCAGAAAGGAGGAATGCCATAGTCTCATAGTGTCTGGGAGTAATTAATTCTGAAAATAAATAGACTCAACTTATCTAAGTTCTATTTCATAGATGCTAAAACAGAAGTTTCTCCAATTTATTTTAAATTCATTGCATATTACTATTACTATAATAAAGCTATTATTTGGTTTAATCAGTAACCAAATCTATAGACAATATTAGCCTTACATAGAAAAAACGTTATTATCACTAACATAAAATTCAGTAACATACAGCTTTTTACATCACAAGCAAGTTTACATCCATGTGAAGTCTCAGGTGTGGGAAAGAAACAAAAATAACACCACGAAATTACCAAGAAGGAATTGTTACCTGCACAATGACATGTATTTCTTAGACTCCCCAAGCAAAGTCCGCTATCAACAGAGCCACTGCAGTACGCGCTGTAAACAAGAACAGCACCAGGTCTAACTAGGCGGGCGCCCTGCCAGGACACCAGGAGCTTCTCCCAGCTCCGTCAGCTCCAACTGCTGCTGACCTTCCTTCTGAAATTGCTCCACACCAGTATCACTGTAGGGAAGCAATGGTACCACGGAAAGAATTTAAGGACGAAACGAGACTGCGGCAAAACCTAAACTGATCTGTCCAACTACCAGAAACGTATTTTAACTTTATATAAAGGCTGCACTGACGTTCGTTAAGAAGCGGACTTCCGGGGGCGCCTGGGTGGCTCCGTCGTTAAGCGTCGGCCTTCGGCTCAGGTCATGGTCCCAGGGTCCTGGGATCGAGCCCCGCGTCGGGCTCCCTGCTTCTCCCTCTCCCACTCCCCCTGCTTGTGTTTCCTCTCTCACTAGGTCTCTTTCTGTCAAATAAATAAATAAATAAAATCTTAAAATAAAAAAAGAAGCGGACTTCCATGGTGGGGTGGGTATTTTAAAAAATAGTTGAAACAATGCAAAAATAATTGTGAATTCTATAATTCAAGCACAACCTCAAATACCATTTAAAATGGTAAACTAATTCTAATCCATCTTTCTGAACTAATCTCCAACTGATGTATAAGGAAAGACTGCCGGCCAAGTTCGACTTCCAACATAGGTCCTTAAAACTAAAAGCGGCAAGTAAGCATTTCCCCACGTCTCCAGGCAGGTCCCCCAAACGAGCCGCGAGTACTCCCAGCAGCTCCCGCAGCGGCCGCTCTCTGCAGGAGCAGCGAACTCCGCAGCGGGGGCTCCCTCCCCGGGACACCTGGTCCCGAAGCAGCAACACAGTAACTCTGGGCGATGCTACAACAATTTGAAGATAAGTTTCCCGAGAGCGATAATGAACAGTGCCGGTGACCACGAATCCTCCGATCTTCTTTCGCTGCCCTGAGTCACCGCCCCCTCGGCGCATTCGGGGCCCTAGGGGCCGGCTCGTCCTCGCCGGGCACCGGGCCCGGGCCACTCACGCTTCCCCGCTCCGCGCGGCCGCATCCGCGGGTCGCCGGAGGGGCGGCCCGGGGCCATAGGCGGGCCTGCCCGCGAGTCCTTGGGGCCTGAGCAGGAGGCCTGAGCGGCATCCTCTGCAGCCCCGGAACCATGGCAGGCCAGCCTCGCCCCGACCCCCGAGCGCCGCCATTGCTCCGCGGCCGGAAGTGACCAGGCCCGGGCCCCTGAGGGACAGGGGCGGGGCCGGGCCCTCAGCCAATGGAGAGGCGCCCAGGGGGCGTCGCGCCCCGCCCCGCGAGCCACCGCCTGTGGGGCTCGCCAGGCCGTAGGGCGGAGGCCAAGAGGGGCGCCAATCACGGCACAGAACCAACGAATAAGGCCCGCCCCCGCAGCGCCAATGGCCAATCCGAGGCCGGAGGCCAAGCGACCCAAAGACATTCAAATCAACTCGACCTCCTCCTCCTCCCCGCCCCTCTGAAGAAAAAAGAAGGCAGCGGAAACAGAGACCCGTGCCAGTCACTGCGCAATGCCCACCCTCATCCGGCTCAGCAACCAATAGCTCAGCGGCGGACTGATAAGGACATTCCATGGGGGACACCAAGACCAATCACAAGGAAGCCAAAGCGGGACGTTCACAATATGCTAATAAGGCCCCTATAAAAGTCGCTGCGAAGCCCAGGCTCGGTTAGAGCGCGCAGGGGCGCCATAACTCCGGGGTCTCCCTGCGTGCTCGGGACGTGCGGTCGCTTCCCTCCTCCCCCCACGCTTCCGTTTCCCTGCTGCGCAGCCCTGTAAACATTAGTAAACTCCGAGTGACGATCCGCGTCCCATACACAGACCCCAATGGCATGCCTGACCTGGCAGGAAAGTTTCCCCCAGCCAACAATTCCCAGCGGATACGAACCCTCCGCCTCTCTCCGGAACTCTGGGCAGCTGGGGCTGCAAAGAACGACCCACAGGTCCTCTTCCCTGCCATGTTCCTCTGCAAGCCGACAAGCTTTGCCCGCGCCCCCCGAGCACAGCAGATGGGCGACTTCCTCGACCCATCCTCCCTTCCATCCCCTCCCCTTCTCCACCGCACGCACAGAATAAAGCCCTCGCCCTCTGCGAACTACACCCGGCCGCGCCGCCCCTCGCACGTCGGCCCTTACTCAGTGTCCAGCTCCACGGGAGGCCCGGGGGGTCGGGCGGGGGTGGCGGCGACCTGGGCCGCACCGCGCGGAGTGCCGACCCCGGACTTTATATAACACTCAGATTCGGGACTGGGTAGCGGTGGCTCTGGGGATGGCGAGCAGAGCCGGGGACCCGCCACCCGCAGTGCCCTCCCAGCAGCCCTGCGCGCAGCCCCGTCGCTGCGCCCCTCAGCCCCAGCGACCGCGGCACATCCCTCCCTCGGCGCCCTAGCCTGCGCCCCCTGCGCCCCCTCCCCCGCAGCACCCCGCCTCGTCACTTCACTACAAAGAGCGCTTTGCTCGCGCAGCCTGGCATTGAGACCTCTCGTTCCTCCTTCCTCCTCCGTGTCCGGGCTTCGCGCACAAGGACCTTGGCGAATCAAAGACGCTCCAGACCTTTTGTTCCTGCCCGGCCAGAGCTGCCGCCGCGGGCCCGCGGCTCCTCGGGGCGGGGAACAGGACGGCCCGCGGCCCCGCGGCGCGCCGCGACCGGCGGGGATGGAGCGACCGCCCCCGCCCATCCATCCCGCCGTACCTTGGTATTTCGCGTCGATCTCCCGCATCAGCGAGACGTTTCTCTGCAGGTCGAAAGGCAGAGACTCGATGGAGTCCAGGTAGTCCTCCACATAGTTCACCAGGTGGATCTGCTCCCCGTTGGCAGGGCTCAACATGGTTCACCGAGGTCCCCGGCGACTCGGCGCGGCTTTCCGCTTCCTCCAGCCCCCGCCCCCTCGGAGCCCAGCGCTGCAAAATGCAAAGCTCCCGCCCGCCGGCGCCCCCCCTCCGGCCGGCCCCGCGCCGCTACATCTGCGAGCCGCACCGCCTGGGCCCGGGGACCCGGCGCCTGGCG